CTTCTAGGCAGGTGTAGAGCTTTCTTCAACATTCCATAATCAGTCTAACTATTGATAAATGGGGTTAAATACCTCATTTCCCTCTGACTAGATGGATGGGTACTTGAGCCCGAAGCTTATTTATGTAAAATAGACCCCGGAGCAGGGTTCCGGCCCACTCTCACTTCTACCACCACACACTGGAGGTTGGGCTTCAATTTCTGAGCCACTGGTGAAATCCTGTCCTACACGGATGGGGTTACCAGAATCCATTATTTTCTGAAGCTGTCAAACTCGAGGCCTTGAGCAGGAAAGCCGCGCACAAAAATAAAATCCCATTGCCTTTGGAAGCCTACCCCTCCGCGGGAGTTCCAATCAGGTTGAGTACGGTTCTGTGATACACAGAGCAGCTTTCAGTGCGGGAGGTAGGCCATTAAATGCTTTCTGAACTCCATTAGTTACTCCTGCTGAGAGTGAAAAAGTCCTCAGAAATGCATAAAAATTAAATTGCTTATGAGGTAAGGAATGAGATGGTACTTTGCTGCCAAATATTATTTTCCGTTCAATTGGTCTACACTCACAAGCACAATGTGGAATAACAGAGCACATACCTGCGTGGAAGGCAGCACTGACTAGGAATACCTGGGCCTGAAAATCGAATGGCATCTCATCATCTGGTAATAATCTCGACTTGGCTTCAAGTTAACTTCCACTCTGTCCCCCATCCCCACCCTGGATGGAGCCCACCACCTCCATTCCATGCTGGACATGGGATTCAGGCCGGCCCAATCAGAGCATCATTGACCCTCGGCCTCAGTGACTAAGGGAGGGAGGCACGTGACCCAGTCAGAGCACCAAGGTGCGATGGGAGGTGGATGGGACTAGTGAGAGAGAGACGCACTCCTCCCTCCCCTCTGCTCTCCCCGAGCCTGGGAGAAGGCGGGTCTGGGGCTGCGATCATCTGTTTTGCCATCACACGCAACCTGTGAAGGAGGCAACAGGGAGGAGCAGAGCTGAGCGCTGGTGAGATGCTGGATCCTCATCACACTGTTCTGATCCAGTTGTACCTGTGAATTTTCAGGTACATTAGCCAATAAATCCCATTTTTCTTAGATTCAGGCTTTCTTTCGCTTGTAATCAAAACAGTCCTATTTGATAACCAATTAAAATAGAGAACCATTTTAATTTACATTTCAGTCTGGGAAGAGGCTCACCTCATTCTTCAGATAAGGAGGGATGCTGAGAGCAGGTAAGTGGCCTGCGGAGTGCTCTGCTTGTTGGTGGTACCGCAGGACTAGCACCCAGGGCTCCTGCTTTCTCATGAGGTGTTTTCATTACACCATGGGAAAAATTAACATGCTGGAGTTGTTCCAAACTTCTTTTATACATTTTTAACTTTTCTTTAAAAGATTGGCACCTGTGCTAACATCTGTTGCCAATCTTTTTTTATTTTTCTTTTCTTCTTCTCCCCAAAGCCCCCCAGTACGCAGTGGTATATTCTAGCTGTGAGTGCCTCTGGTTGTGCTATGTGGAATACCACCTCAGCATGGCTTGATGAGCGGTGCCATGTCTGGGCCCAGGATCCGAACCGGCGAAACCCTGGGCCGCGGAAGCAGAGCGCGCAAACTTAACCATTTGACCATGGGGCCAGCCCCTGTTCCAAATTTTTAATAAAACTTTGCTCTGATTAAAAGTTTACTTACCGGATATTATACTTTAAAAAAAGAATTTACAAATTACTATTTTGTCATCCTTTGCACTGTTACTTAGGATATGGACTTGCAAATACATTGATAAATTTCTCAGAAATGTGCCTGTGCTAGGCTATAGTGGCAATAGAGATAGCCCAACAAAAATAGCTTAAAATGTTTTATTAAGTATATATAATATTACAGGGCAATATTTACAAAGTTATGTTTTTTAAAATAAAAAAGTATCTTGGCAAAGATTGCAGATATTCAAAGCTTCAAACAGTGATAAATTGATTTAATACATATAAAAAAAACCTTTAACGGCAACACAGCTGTAAAACAACTTTGGTCTTTAAATCACTGCAAAAAATGGCTACTGACAAATAGCACACCTTTAATTGCTATGGAAAAAAGCCCCCAAGAGAGGATCTCGCACATAGCAACACTGGAGTTTTCTTTATTTCGAGTGGTTAATGGATATTTATACGGTGTGGGAACTAATTTCCAACAATGGCTTTTTGTAAATAATGCTCTGTTTAATAAAAACAAAAATCTCTCCCTCTCTCACCAACCCTGATAGCGACACTTTCAAGGCTCCACTGATGTCGCCTTTCAGAGAAGCTTATTACAAACACTTTTTTCCAAAAGGCTAAATTTATGGGAAAGTTGGTCTTCAACGATAAGAGCGAGCTGTCAAAAGCCAAAGGCAGGAAGACGTCCTGGTCACCGCTCAGCTCTTGAAAGTCACCTGGCTTCTCCCTCTTAGCCATGGAAAATGACTTAAAGGACCCCAGTAGGTGATGGCAGTTAGTGATTCTGAAAATAAAACACACGTAAAACTAATGTTTCTAAACAAACTCTCCATCAAATAAAACACAATAAGAAGATAAAGGTTGCCCAGCAACCATTTCTCTAGTTTCCAATGACAGGTAAATAAAGGAGTATGTATTTCCATACACCACAGCTCTCTATATTTGAATACCCATTTTAGGACAACAGAAATCTAGAAGGTGACATAGGACTTAATTCTTATTAATGAGATGGAGGAGTAAACATCACTTTTTGAGCTTTATTAACTCAAACCACAATTTGGTTGGTCACTTACTACATTGACTACAGCATCCTGAAAACAGCAATAGTCTCAATTACGGGATAGCCCCATTATTTTAATTCTGACATTCTCAGAAATTTAAACAGAATGGACCCGGAGTTTCCACGTGAAAAAATCATCACCTTTTAAGGTTTTCAGAGCATGTGAAATTTGTCGAAAAAGAAACTCTCTAGCTCACCCTATTAAAAATAGTGGGAAATCTACATACAGCCAACTTTCAATCATTAAACTTATGAACTGAGTGCCTAATGTATGCAAAACACTGCAGGAAGAGAAAGGAAGGAAAAAAGGCTCTTGCTACGAGTGGAGGAATTTTTAAATCCAGTGAGAAAAGCAAGACAAAAAGAAAAACTCAACAGAGCTAAGCAGAGACACATCAAGTAGTAGGAAAGGTAAGTAAGAGATGACAAGAGGCGGCTGCAAAGGAGAGCCGGGGGGAAGGGAGGGCTGGTGGATAATGTTTTGAAGGAGACAGAAAATTTTATTTGGCCAAAAAGGCCAGAAAGGTTGTTGCAAAAATGACAAATGGCATCACTCTGAGGACGTACAATAAATAAAAGTGAATGGAAGAGTCGATGGCAAAAATTGGGATCAGTGAGTAAAAAGCAGATTATGAGGGGAAACAGATGTATGATGCTCAAAACATTGTCAGAAATTCTAAATTGGTGTGACAGAAAATTGGGAGCCATTACAAGTCTGATTTAAAGAGAATGAACGGGCTCAATGATGCCCAAGCAAGAGGGCCCTGCTGCTGTGGTCCCTTTTCCGGAAGCTGACAACTACTAAGAGCAAGAGTTGATTTCGTCTGGCATCTCTCCGGCTACCTCTGTGCGTTGTCTAGGGCAATGAATGCCTCAGAAGACAGGTAGCATCCAAGAGAACACAAGGATGGATAAGGTCCAAGATTGAAATCAAATAAATGAGGAGTTACTGCGTATTGAAAGGTGCAACTTTAGTTTGTAAAAAAGTTTACTACAAAGATTTTCATACCTGACTTCTTCCAATAGAGAATAGGAATTGGGATCTTTTTCAAGTCCATCTGCTTCTTCCCTCCTTTCATAAAAATTGACTTCCAAAGTCACAAATGATATTAGTAAAACAAATATTTAGAAGGAAAAAGAGCAGCAGGAGCCATTGCATTTGTATAAAGAAATGCAGCTCCCTCTGCATATGATAATATTTTGGACAGCAACACAATTAGGGAAGGAAACATATTTTTCTTTTTTGCCCAAGAAGAGCTGTCTTCAGAGTGTGTTCAATTTTCTGAGAGGCATCAGCAAGGCATAAATTTAGGTTTGCATGGGCAAACCACTTAGTCCCAACCTAAAATATGACAATTAATTTGGCATAAAAGAGGCACATGGGAACATTCAGTGGACTGAGAAAGAACTACCAGTAATGCAAGTACAAATATGAATGTCTTACTATTACACAGACAGGAAGAATAACTAGTATTTTTAGAGGGTATTGGTGAGCAGTCAAAGAGCTTGGCAAATCACTTAGAAGTTTTTAAGTTTTAAGTGATCAAATATCCACATCAAATATAATTCCACCCAATAAAGATCTTTGTTTTTAAATGTTTTGACTAAAAGCATGAAATTAACATTTGCTCTCCTATAGGTATCACCCCACTGCTGTCCATACAGAAGATGCATGTGCCTATCATATACACGTGCACACACAAACACACACCCACGAAGAAGGAAAACGAGTGCTAATAATCTAAAAGTACTCCAGGCGACCACAACTGTCAGAATGTTAATCTTCTTCTAACGGGGGTAGGAAATGTTGGGGTTCTGTTTTACTTCTCAATCTCAGAGTCAGGGGAGTACGAGGCAGGACTACAGGAGGAAGATGATGAGTGTTTACCATGCTACACAGATACAACAGTAACAAAACCGCCCTTTTGAGGGCTGGCCTATTGGCGTGACGGTGACATACATTATGCTGCCATGCAGGAGACTCACAGTTCAGACCTCCATCTTGGTTTTTCATGCCCCAGGTCAGAAAAGAAGTGAAGAAACACTGTAGACTGTGCCTTCAAATCCGAGGAAGGGAATACATATGTTACAACCATCGCTATTTTTGTGTGAACATAGTTCTCTGAGAACTAGCCTGGCTCCTTTCTGCAATGACGCTACCGTGTCACTGGACCACATTCAAAGAGGAGAAAAGGTGCTACATCTTGTACAGCAGAAGCAAATAACAGGAGGACAAGACAGGGTTTAAAGTGTTATTTTGAATAAAAGAAAAACAAATCCATCAATAAAATTATCCTAAATCTGGAAAGGATGTTACACTGCATATTGGAGACAGAATGTGTGAATGGCAACCCCCAAGAATGAAGACCATGATCTCCATCAGAATCATATCACACGCAGGTGGCATATAAGATGTTCCCAACCAAATTCCCATTCGTACTTACTTTGCTATTCCCTTGACCCAGAAGCGGCAGACACATCATTCAGCTACCACCATAACTGCTAAAGCGGCTGCAAACCTGAGTTTGCTAAGGTTGGATGGAAGCCACTGTTTTTCATAGATATCTCTGGGTAACCACCAGGTTAGCACCAGGTAATTCTCATACTTGACCAATTTAGACTGGTGACCTAGAGTTAAGAGGCCCTGGGATCTGAAAGCCATCATTCTTGGAAGTTGCTCACTCTACTTTTGCCCCTAATTGAATAAAAATAACAACAAAAAACTAGATCTCAATTGGGCACACAACACAGATCATAATTCTTTTATTAACTAAATTACAAATGCTTTGAATAAAAACTTAATTGTAACAATCATTTAAAGGTCAATGATTTACTTTCTCCCATAGAGGAAAACCAGTTCCTTTTCTTGTTTTCTTCTCCGGAACAGTGAATCACGGCCATGGTGCTAAACACAAGTGTATTCCTTTCACATCTTACTATTCTCCAAATCAGAGTCCATCACCTCACTTCAGTTACTCTGGAAAATAGAAAAATAAACATATAATCGTTATTCATGTCTACTTTCTATGCATTAACAAGCTGATATATTTAAAAAATTTGGAATGGTTTCAGATATACAGTATGTAAAAATAGTATCCAGAAAAAGTACTTAATCTTAGATTTGCAAGGGTCATAGAAATAAACCAGGCAAATCATTAGCCTTTTTAGCTGCAGTAAGTAAAAGGCCAATGCCAAATGAAAATAAAAATCAACAAAGTCTGATAATCTCTGTTTGCTGGGTTAGCTGAGGAGAAGCCGAGAGATGTTGATTTTTCAAAGCAAAAGATATTGATCCTAGAATAACATTTGATCACATTCACTTTGGGTCTACATCATTCATTTAATGTAAGTGAAATAAACAGGTGATCACTCGTAAGTGAAAGAGGAAATGGCACTGTGGTCCCTAGGAAGGTACGGGGGACCTCTCTCACCGACCAGGCAGACACACCGTGAGCATCGAGCAGCTGTCAACAGGAAGAGGTCACCAGACAAACATTTTTTAAAAACCCAACAAATCCTAAACAGTTAAATATTAGCTAAATTAAGGGAATTTCGAAGGTCAGCATAGATTTAATGTGCTATGAATGCACAAAAACTCCTGTATCTCTTGATACAATGGCTCAAAAAAAGTCACATCTTAAGAGAAATTAACAAAGAAAGAGGCACTCAAGGTTCTTATACTGATTTTCTGAAAATGGAGAACAGGAGTTTAGTTTCTTCATACAACAATGGAAGAATGACACCACAGTAGGAAAAGGAAAGAATAAAGAAATGAAAATATAGAGCATCAGGATGTAAACACAGACTAACCACACTACAATTCCAGGTACCAGCTCTTTTTTTAATGTCATTTAATGTATTCCTACTAACTACAATTTTTTTAAGAGGGCAGTTGTTAGTATAACAAAACATGCATTTTTGTAATAAAGGCTGTAACACACACTTACAAAAGTGGGATCAGTCTATGACTCCTTCTTGAACACAACCTAAGCATCACTTTAAATTTTGTCCACTGATACACAATTGACGTGTTTTTAGTCTTATGCAAAAATTAATTGCACTCAGGGGAATACAGCCTCTTGAGTTAAATGCTGCACTTTGCCATGGAGGTGAGTAGGGAGGTCACAGACTTTAAAACAGTAAAACAGAAAACAAACTATTTCCATGATCAAGGGATGATTGTAAATATCAAAAATATGAAGAAATTTTGATATGATAAAAACACGTTATTAAAATGTTAACAGAACTGAAGTATTATAGCATGTTAAGGTGAAGTCAAAATGAATACTTCTAGCACTCAATATCTCAGACTTATTTATCTTTGGGAACTAACAAATATACGTCTTTGAAGTATTCAATAAAAATTGAAAGTTATTAGCCCAGATTTCCGAAAAAAGAAGAAAATGCAGGAGTGCCTAAGCATTTCTCTCTCTCTCTTTTTAAATCCTCTCCCACAAGATTATTAAGTCTCCATGGGTTAAATGCAACAAAATTGCAAGAAAAGCACAAAAGAAACTGTCAAGATGACTAAGATTTGTGCCAGATTATCTATGTGTCTTACAAAAAGTATTCTAAAGTTACAGTCACCGGACACTGCATTGGAAAAATGTTTTTGAAAAAGTAGTAATTTCTCTTTGCTATGAGCAACATGACTAAACACTCTGATTAGTGACACCCACAGCTTTTATGTCTTAGTTTTGCAATTTTTCACAGAGCAGATTTAAGTTTCATAAATCAAGAAAGGTAGACCTTTAAGATTTGGCAGTGTCCCTTTTATTTAAAAAAAAAAAGCCATACTTTTGAGAAGCTATTTTATTTCTTTTCAATGTCCATATTTTAACCAATCTCTAATGGTAGGTGCATTTTATACTCACCATCATTCATCATTCCTTTTGATTCTTTAAATGCTAAGAATTAGTAACAAGCCAAGCAGATAGTTAGTAAAGTTACACCATTAGAAATCATTTCTAAATAAGTAAACATGCAGCAATGTCATGCCAACTATTCCGCTGCTATAAAGCCAAATTAATTTTACGGCTATCATTTTATTACAAAGCCTTCCTGTGGATCATACCCAAAGGCTCCACGAAGGAAAAAAAGTTAGTTGGAAAAACAGATCTAGCTTTAGGGAGAAAGAGAGACGCCTGGTCCCATTGCATGGTGACAGACTGTATCTTTCTAAAATTTATACATCAGAAATTGAAATTGGCTGAGATTCTTCTCTACTGGGGGTGTTACACTTCATTTTGGCCAACATAAAAAGGCAATGGTCCCCTTGCCCAAATATCATGTGGCTAGCACCAGCAACTACTTAGTGCACAGAACAGGGTGAGAACATTACAAAAGCAATACTCGACTCTTGAGGAATAATCAAGAAAAGAGAGGTCAAGGTAAGAAAAAGAACTAGATTCTTCCCAAGGCGTAGACAGAGTATCCTAATTGCTTTGGGAGCCAGTTAAATAATGGTCTGGTAATGGATCAAGAAGAATATATAAGTTTGTAATAATCACATACCATTAAGGGGTTCCTCTACAGCTTTCTGGAAAATATTTAAAATATATTTACATAAAAATAGAATTTATTTCATGTCCTTTTATACTGAAATATATACGCTAACATTTAAACTATGTAGCAAGCAGTGAATCCTATCGTCTAAAGACACAACAAGGCAACAAAGGTTAAAAAAGCAAAGCTTGCCAAGCCTGGCTAATAGTTTAATAATAACTGTAATATTGTGCTCATATTCTTTTTCTATGCAGAATTTCCCATCCCACCCTGCCTCTCTCAGTTCAAGAAATCCTAACTTCTCAAAAAAATTACTAAAGCAGAAACATAAATAGCAAGATAATAAAGAACACAGTTAAAGAAGAGAAGAGAACGAAACAGAATCATTTTCAAGTCATGTAGATTGAACTCAGAAACAGGGAAAGAAAATGTACTAAGATTTAAGGGTCTGATGGTTGGGTTATCTCTAACGGAGACACTTTAAAAACTGCTGGCTCCTTGTGACCAGCGTAGCTATGGCACCAATCTTTTTAGAAGAAACACCTGTGGTAAGACGTCCCCTGCTCCCCTGCCCCTCAGGCATGTCTGTCGAGGCGTGTCAGATGCAGGGGCAGATGGACTCTCACTTCCTGCCACAGACAGGAGTCTTGCTTCTGGCATTCCAGATAGAGCTCTCATTAATCCTTTACAGGAAGATGAGTACAATATAGTACTTTCCAGATCTTATTTTCATAAAGTAGCTCTTGCGCCTTCACCATGATGAGTTTCTATAAAGGTTTTTTTCACCCATCTCATATATCCCCCTCAGTTTATCTCCTAAATTTCCCCCTTTTCTTGGAATTTTCTGAGACAGCTTATTAAGGTATCCAAAATATGGTGAAAACTATAGTTCAGTTTGGAGGAAGAAAGATGCTTATAAAATCAGGGAAGGAGGGAAACAAATCACAATTCAGAATAGATATTTTTCAGCAACACTCACATTTATTTTACAGATTTTTAATAAAATCAATTAAATATAAATCTCTCTCTCTTATTTTTAAACCTGAAATATCATTTTGTATATGTACACCAAATGGATCCAACAGGTGAGGCAATATATTGGAATCAGCTTCCTTCAGCAGAGATAATGACCATTATTCTCATACATAAACTTTCCAGTTCTGGGTGTAAGAAGTCAGCATAATCTTAACAGGAATCATTTATTCTATCCACCCGTTGCTACTAAATGACCAAACATAGGTTTTAAAATAGAACTGGATCTATCCAGGCAAAGGTGATGAAATGACTTCAACCTTCCCTTAACTTGGTGTTACACTAAACAGACAGCAAAAGGACTCAATATCTCAACTACCATTCCTCAGTCTAAAGCATCGAGTGATCATGCCCAATTCATTTACGAAATTTAAACTTACCCTAGGAGGTTGTATAGTCGTCTGATTGGAAGCTGATAAAATCAAAAAATACGAAAATCAATTTAATAAATAAATTAAGGCAAAATAATGTTTAATTTTTAAGACAAAATGTTCAGAGCTAAAACTAGAGGTGCCAGAATCCACTGAATGAGTTCCAACTTTAATAGTCTATTAAAAAATACAAAACATTCTTGATTATATGCATTGATAGAATAACATGATGCAAATAATCCACCTATATCAAATGATAAAAATACACATTCTCTGATTTGGGCATGCCATATCTCCCCATAAACCAGCCGCTTGTTACACTTCATGGTGGAAAGGCATTGTCCTCTCCTCACCACTGTAGACTCTACATCCCTCCCTACTCCACCCAGCACACGGACAGGACGTGGCAACGACCAATCTCCACCTCCACTGCATCCCCATCCCGCGCTCAGCGCTCGTGTTCCTTGTAGCCTAGTCTTCTTTTGTCCTTCTTCCATCTTTCCAGTTTTCAAAGCTCCAGAGAGCTATGAAATTAAAGAAAATATTCAGGTCCCTCTGAGTTTAAAGAATTATTCTAGACAGCTAGGTTTAGTGACAAATAAGCCCTTCTCTGTGTATCTGTAGCTTTCTGAGTTACCCTTAACAGCTTCTAAATGGACTGGTTAATGAAACTGAAGGCATATAGGGCATGAAGAAAGTGACAAAAGTGAAAAGAACTGCCTGAGTTACATAGAGAAGAAGAGAGAACTTCCTTACAAAACCCAAGTGAGAAGGTCCCAGAGCAGCTAAAACCAGTCCTAAATATAGAATCAGAGTCCTACAGATAGAAACACATCAACCGGCAACATCCTGTGAATCCCTCTGTAAGAGGGTGATGCTACTGGATACAGCAGTCAATTCCACCGTCCTCTGGATTGGATGACAGCACTGGATTTGCTGATGAGCAGACTGAGGCAGGCCCCCCAGAAGTGCTCTCGTGTTCCATGCTATTTATTTACTACCACTCCTCCACATCCACTCTCTCAAGCTTCCAAAGCTGATAGAAAACAGGGGTGAGACCTGACCCAAGGGCAGCCAGTCTACAGGCTAGCCAGACACAACTTACTTCAACTAAACCATGTCCTACGTCTATGTTCTATCAAGGAGAAAAGAACTGGATAGCTATGTAAATTTCTGATTAGTAACGTGAAGGGTCAGAGGTAAGATTTAGAGTTATATTTTTGAGTTCATAAATTTATTTATCAGAATTAGTATCAAGAACTGCCAAGTAACTCCTTTACTACCCTAACAGTTTCAATTCTCAGGCCCAAGGAACATCATATTTGACTAGCCCATTCCGGAAAAAAGAGATCGACAAAGAACAGTCACTCAAAAGGACATCAGTCAGCCGTGCTCCTTCTAATATTATAAAACCAAACAGTGCAGAAGTTAATTTCACTTGAGTTAATCCTCTCCAATGGGCATATGTCCTATGTGCCCAAAGAATGACTGTGATTTATCCGTTGCTACCACATGCCTAAGGCATCGACAGCCACATATATATATATATATTTAAACCACAAGCCGTGAGCATTCCATATGAGCTCACTTGCAAAGCTTCTTCTTGATTTGTTCTTCTCTCCCTGAAACACTTGACACATGCCATATATATATGTCTAGGTTTTGAATTTTCAGCAATATTTTTTCTATTCATATCAGTCACCTCTCCCCAACAATGGGTAAGAAAATATCACTGAATTTTATATACGTATTCCGTGTCATCCTAAAATATCTGAGAAGTTATGGTAAATATGGTTTCTGACTGCTAGTAGGTTGATTTGTATCAAAACACGATCATATGCCCTTATACTGAATTAAGTGATAACGGCTTAAAAAATGCACAAGAATTGACCTTTATAAAGAATGGCTCTGAACACCGCATACAAATAACAAGCACAACTTTGGAGAGTTTCATCAGTTCCTTCTAACCTTCTACATGCTCTCACATTGTTATTGTTCCCAGCCTCTAATTTCATTTCATAAAATTTAAATGCTTCTAGCAACAACAAAAAAAATCCAATACAGTTAAAAAAGAAGACCATAGAAAATGAAAGTTAAAACTACTCTTTAAAGTAACAATTAAGGTTACAAATTTAAACTTGGAAATAGTGAAAATCATAAAAGTGAAACTTCTCATGGGGACATTAACTTACTCTTACAGAGACAGATTGGATTTTTTCTTTTAAAGTATCTGAGGATTTTATTGCATTTAAGTCAAGACACATTCGTTAGGCTTTTCCAAAAGAGAGCATCTGCAATGCGTAAAAATTATTTTGGAAACATTTACAGTTTTTACTTCCTGATACAAATTCTCAAATTTGCAACCTTAACGTTACATATATACTCAGATTTAGATACTCAGATTCTACAGGAGAAACACGAACTTTCCTAGTCTACCACATTATCTAAAGACCAGCTTTCCTGTACCTTTTCTGTTCGTGCCCTTCAACTGACTGAAGGAGTGCCTCTGAACTCTGGCATCAGACAAGTTGACTGGAAAAGTTAATTTAGAATATTCTCAACATGTCAATAAAATTGGACTAAATGCTTAATTTACATGTGGTATGTTTATATGTTAAATTATAATAAAAAAAATTGGGGGAGTGTCTCAGGATTTCCCTTTCAGTTCGATTTTAACGTGGGAACAGTATGTTTGTAATTCGACTGGTTTCACAGGCCTCTTAGGGATGTAAGCAATGGAGAAGTGGGGTGGGGAGAGCAAGGCAAGGGGATGGCAGCTAGACATGCCTATTCCCACCTGAGTCCGCATCTCCAGACCTAGACAATGCCTATTTCCACTTGAGTCCGCATCTCCAGACCTATGGGCATCTGTGCTGAACATCACTCTTTGTTAGACGAGGAAGATGTTGGAGGAGTGTGGGAATAAAAGGGAGGGCAATCCAGATGAGGGGAAAAAAGAGCAAAGAGCCGACCATCAGTCAAAGACACCTAATACCACATCACGCTGTGCTGGTCCTACAGGTCACACTGTCCTCAAGCATTCATAGGGAGCAACAGAACCAGCAGGGTCATCTTCAAGAATCAGACAAATGGTGAGTACAAGACTCAACAAAAACAGAGCACGCCTCCACATTCACAATGTGATCCTCATGACAGCTCCCAAACAGACGCCGTTCTGCTCTGGAAGTCTTAATTCTGTTTTTTGGCCTTATGAGGCCTGAACTAAGAACATTTCATTGAGGTAACAATTATAACTTATAAACACATAAACTAAAGATAGGTAGATTTTAGTTAAGAATTTTAATTGTTTATCCAATAAGCGTTAATTAAAGAGGGACAAAGAATATACAACACAATTGAACTGAATGATCGATCAGTCAGAAAAAGCTAAAGTTCAGAAATGAAAGTAAAATTTCTTTGCCAGGACCATGCAAGTCATAGGGGAAATTATGTCACTACAACAATTTAAAGTTTGTATTCATTTTTAGAGACACATACAGCGAAGTTCACCTAAACCAAAGCAGAAACATTGATTTTTTTACTCCACTGATTTGTAACTTTTGATTATTTTGACCAATGTTTAAGTATTTGCACTACTTCATAAATAAATAACAGAGTTTTTTTAAAGGGAGATTAATATAAACCAGATTGTAAGGAACATTTTTAGCTTAAGTAAGACGACATACTAGTTTTGGGCACCATCAATAGCATCTATTTCTATATATGTATAAAAATACATAAAGAACCTGTTATTTGAAAATTGGCAGATTAAATACAAAGTTTACAAACAATAAGATAATTCTACACTTACTAATAATTGATTTTAAAAATAGTAAAAGCCTAAATTTTAAAACTCAATGTTTTTATTACATTGGTTTTAACCAAAAATATTTTAAAGTCAAGTGTGAGGGGACACTGCTCTTTAGTTAACAAAAGTGATGGATTTTGAATTTCGATTCTTGTCTACTTAGGGACTCCAGGTCTGGGGACAGTCTGCAAGAAGAGCAAGTGACAAACAGGTCCCTTTGAGAGAGCTCTGTCACAGAAACAACGGCCAAGTGAAGTCCTCTTGTATTAATTAAAATGAATCCTCAACAATCTCTCCTTTTACTTAGTATAAAAACATCTACACATTCTAAAACATAAAGCCATTTTCTTTTAAACTATTTTATCACCTAAACTTTTAATTTAGTCATGTCTTCTACTTTTTTTCATTACCCCCAAATCATTCCAACTTTATTACTTAAAAGATATAGCAGCATTCAGTGCGTTTTCTTATTTTTGGAGTTACCAATATATTCTTTAGGGCTACACTATAAGAAGTAACCAAAAGCATTTTCCAAATTATATATTTGAAATTCTTGACATAGGCTAACAAAAATAAGGTTGACTTACCAGCTAATTTCATATAAATTAATCCAAATAATTCTGCTAGAGCTATAATACCCAAACCTGAAATCAGAAGAGGGCCATGCACTGGGGTGCACTCTGTAAAAACAAACGAAATTTTACATTAGAAATTCACATGAAATAACTGATCCTAATTATCAAGAAACAAAAATTATCTATATACGTTCATCAGCATTAGCAAAATGTCTAAAATTTATTATTATTAAAAAAAGAAATTATTAAAAGAAAAAAGAAACAAAATGAAAAAAAAAGAAAAAAGCCTTTGTTTGCATAAGATGTACCTTATCATATCAGGACTAATGGAAAATGGTGTGTAAAGCCTAAGGCTACAACCAATTGGAGCCTGGTTATTTCAAAAGTTCTCCCATACATACAGGTCCAACAGGTTAGCTCTGGAACCATCAGCTGACAAGCCATATACAGCCAATATTCTCATGGCGATGTGGAAAGTATTATTATCAGCTGGGCAGAGTGGGTGTGGGGGGACCCGGGGGAGTGAGAGATAAAAAAGGAAAGCTCACAACACCAAATGCTGGCGAGGACACGGAGGAATAGGCATTTTCATTCAAGGCTGGTGGGAATGCAAAATGGTACAGCCACTTTGGAAGACAGTTTGGCAATTTGTTACAAAACAAAATATATTCTTAACATACAATCCAGCAATTGCAGTCCTTGGTATTTACTCAAATGGAGTTGAAAATTTACGCCTACACAAAAACCTGCACGTGGAGGTGAGCGGATAAGTAAACTGTGGTACATCCACACTACGGATTATTATTCAGTGCCACAAAGAAATGAGCTATTAAGTCACAAAAAAACATGGAAGAACCTTAAATGCCTACTACTGAGTGACAGAAGCCAATTTGAAAAGGCTACATACTGTATGATTCCAACTACAAGACATTCTGGAAAAGGTACAACTACAGAGACGATAAAAAGATCAGTGGTTGCTAGGGGTTTAGGGGGAGGCAGGATGACTGGCAGAGCACAGAGGATTTTTAGGGCAGTGCAACTTGTCTCTATGATACTACGTCTACGACTATGCTCCACGTTTATGAAAATCATAGAACATACGGCACCAACTGCAAACCCTAATGCAAACTACGGACTTTAGGTGGTAATAATGCGGCAACATAGGTTGAATGATCTTAACAAATGTACCACTCTGGTGGGGGATGTTGATAATGGAGGAAGCTGTGAGTTGTGTGGGGTATATAAGAACTCTCTGGACTTTCCACTCAAATTTGCTGTGAATCTAAAACTGCTCTAAAAAATAGCCTATAAATTTAAAAAGAAGAAAAAAAAATGAAAGAGGAAAACAGAGCTCCGTCCAAGAGAAATCCCCAGTAAGACAAACTAGGACTAGAGAAAATGTGACCCTTACCTGTGATACAGAGGCTAAGTCCATCCACAGCGAGCACAAAGCCTAGCCCCTGGAGGATCAATATGGCAATGGTGAAGGCGGTCATCCTGAACGCTGGAGGGGGGAAAAGCATGTTGAGAGTGTTGGAGAAGCACTCAGTCCTGCTGGTATTCCGTGCAATCAAGAACAACAGCCTAGGACCAAAGACTGAGTCTGGAGCTCCTTGCCAGATGGGAGATGCTTCCCCAGGGATCTAAACCTTGTCTTCAACACAAACAGTCAGCTCCGCATTCACACATTCAGCAGCCTTTTATTTTCACAGTGAGCTGAGCTGGACTGGCAGTTTTTACCCAAAATCTTAGAACACTGCTGCTTTTACCACATCCGTGCGTTTTACAATATGAATGGCTATTAGGCATGGCTTTGCCACATGCACACAAAATGGCACCAGTAGAGAGAACCATTACGTACACATGCCACTGTAAACATCATAAACTTTATCTTCTGCATCTAGATCTGTGATTTTATAACAAAGTGATACCTTTCCAATGCACAGCAAGCCAGAGACAGGCTCTAAGGCCAAGAGTTAGATGTGCAAACAGAGAAAAATAGACCCTTTAATAGTAGCGAAAATATGTCAGTGATTTACTCCCAAAATGCAGTGAAAATGATACCAATTATAGGTTGGATATCTATATCATCTTTTAAAACTACAATGTTAAGATTTGCCAATAGTTAAGAAAGATACATTTCCACTATTTGTGATTTATAACCCTATTTTGTAGAACTCGTTTTTTTAACAGAGAGACTTAGCAAAAAAGAGAGAGAGCATGTTTAATATCTACTCGTAATTTCAAAAAACTGTAATAAGAATGTGAAGATAATCATTAATAAATTATACAGCATAATTTTAAAAATCTACTGGTTGGCATCCAATATATACGAAAATTACTTTTTACAAAATAATTGAATATCTTGAAAAACTAAGCTAACCTTAAAATTAATCCATATGAGGAAAACGTCACTAAGAATAGCTTAGGAAATCTTTTAATAAACCAACTTTTACTGAGTTGTTCAAAAAAATACAAGAATATCTCAAACAAAATTCCATTTTTTACATGAAAAAGATGGGTCAAATCATGTCATAACAAATACTCACATATCATAAATACACAGTACTGAAGTAATATTAATGCTGCTGTGGGTATTACAAGTAAACCAAGTCCACAAGCATTCTTTGTTGAAAATTCACCTGTCAATAAACAAAAATATTTAAAATCTTTTCCTACATACTTCCTACTCTACTGGAAGTTAAAGTACTTAATTGATTAAATGTATGAATCTCAATACTACTCTTATAAACTGCAAAAGGTTTAAAAATGTTTCCCCTGAAACTTTGCACAAAGTGTCACTATTTTTTGATTATTTAAGACCAAACTTAAGACATTTAAATATCAACATCTAAGTCTCAACGTGTCAAAACCTTGAGTTGGCTCCACTTCCTTCTTAACTACCTTACAGGATTCCAGTGACCCACTGGAGTCTTCTCTTACCATTCCCTTCATTTTCTATATTCAATCTATCCCAAGTCAAAACAGTTGTTCTTTCCAGTTGTCTTCTGAATTCATCTCTTTCCTCCCCACGTCCTCACTAACTCCAGCTGCAAACAGAGCTGCCAAATTTATGTTCCTAAACATGACACCTATACTGTATTCTGCTCAAAATACAACAATGGCTTTCCAGGTCTACACTTTGAGACCCAGACCATCTCTGCTGCACACCCTTATTTCCCATGCTCCAAATGCAACTGCTGTTTGAGACAGATTTTTTTCCCCACATTCATTCCCACTGCCATGACTTGGCCAATGAAGCTTGTCTCTGTGGTGGGTTGCATGGTGGACCTAAACATACAACCACCTCCCAGTCCTCAGAATCTGTGAATATGAACTTATATGGCAAGAGAGTGAATATTACATTATACAGCAAAAGATATGATTAAGTTAGGGATCTTGAAAGGAGGAGATATTCTGGATTATCCAGGTGGGCCCTACGTTCAACAACAAGTGTCTTTGTAAGAGAGAGGCAGAGGGAGATTTGACCCAGACACAGAGAAGACACAGAGGAGAGGAGGCGGCAATGTGACCATGGAGGCAGAAGTGGAGTGACGCTGCCACAAGCCCAGGAGCTGCACAGATCTGTCAGCAAATACCAGAAGCTAGAAGAGGCAAGGAATGGATTCTCCTCTAAGGCCTTGGGAGGGAGTGTGGCCCTGAGGCCATCTTATTTCAGACTTCTGGCCTTCAGAACCATGAGAGAATGTCTATTACTTTAAGATCCCTAGTTTGTGCTAATTCACTACAGCAGCCCTAGGACTCTCATACGAACCCCCCCACCCCCACTTCCCGGAACACCCCCATCTGCATCAATCCTGCCTTCCTTCATAGTAACTGGGCATCTTACCTGGGACAAACAGAATGGCTCCAACGATGACATCTATAGTGAGCACCAGTCCAACAACAAATATAAAAATGATTTTCTTCTTTGTATCACTGGATTTATATTTAAGTGCTTAAAAAAAAAAACAAAGAATTACAGGAACTCAATCACAAGAAGTGAAGCCTTATAACTTATAAAGTGCCGAGACAAACTGATAACTTACTAGAATTGAATAGCCTTTGCGGGACAACTCCTTCACATCATGTCAAGCCACCCCAAATCTTTTTCATAGTTAGTCAACGGCTAAATAGCGTCATGACAGTATAAATATGGATGCTGAATTTATAGGCAATGCTTTATTCCCCTACACTTTAAAGAATGAAGTTATACACATTAGGCTTTCCCAATCGAGGCATTATTAACGTTTGGGGCCAGATAAGTTTTTGCTGTGGGGGGACTGCTCAGTGCATTACCGAACGTTTAGTGGCATCTCTGGCCTCTACACACTAGATGCCAGTAACAGCCTCCCAGCCGTGTCAATCAAAAATGTCTCTAGACATTGTCAAATGTCCCCTGAGGAGCAAACCTGCCTCAGATTTACAACTGATATACATATGCTGTTGGGAAATACTGGCTAATTAGTCATACTGAAAAAATGAGAACTTTTGTTCTACCTTATACAAAATTAGTAAACCATCTGGAAATCTGGATATTTTATTTTGAAAAAGTAGAATAAACTTTGGACAAATCACACCCTCTTGAAATCCTGAGAGGGAGGGGAAATGCTTAAATTCTTCAACTGAAATAATTTCATGAAAATAAACTATAAGTACTCAAGAGGATTCATCATCCACGTTATTGGTTTTGATTCCAGCTTTACTGCCAAGTATCCAGTACCTTCCATGAAAGAACAGTGTAATAGATAACCCTAAATATATTCTATCTTTTACTATATGTTTTCGGTTTTGTTTGGTAAATATTAACTTTTCACCAAGAAAGCTGTTAAAAGTAACCTTAAAGCAGACTGAGTAGTGGAGAGAAACAGAGTGCGTGATTGAAATTCTGCTGTGTTTCACCCACACATGGTGTTCTTCATGCCATTAATTAATGTGTGACTGTTGTGAGGGAGAAATTTTTTTAAATGTTATAGTCAGCATTTAATTTGTTTGTTTGTTTGTTTGTTTAAAGACTGGCACCTGAGCTAACAACTGTTGCCAACTTTTTCTTCTTCTTCTTCTTTTTCTTCTTCTTCTTCTTCTCCCCAAAGTCCCCAAGGACATAGTTGTATATTCAAGTTGTGAGTGCCTCTGGTTGTGCTATGTGGGACGCCACCTCAGCATGGCCTGATGAGCCATGCCAGGTCCGCGCCCAGGATCCGAACCTGCGAAACCCTGGGCCGCCCAAGTGGAGCGTGCAAACTTAACCACTCGGCCACAGGACCAGCCCCTAATTTGCTTTTATATTTTATTTTTAAATATTTTACATTTATATTTAATATTTTATAATTTTTGCATTTAATAATTACAAACAGATCAAATACAGTAAAAACAACAAATAACCCCCTAAACGACTGTGATAAAATCTCTGTTTAGGTATTGTAACCCAAGGTGATCGTATAACCTATGGTTAAGGTGATTAGGGTATAACATAGGCAAGCTGAAATCTCTGCCTATTCAAGACTTTAGACTGTTCTCTCAATTTTACTCTCTTCAGGGGGAGATGGAGGGCTGAGCAATAATCAGTCCTGAAGGAGAGTAACTGAAGTCCACACAAATCAGAAAAGAGAGACAAACAATATGGCAAGTTCCCCAAGCTCTCACTGATCCATCCAGCCTTGGAACTTAGGTGCCTCTGACTCAGTCACGTCCCCACCTTCTTCCAGGACACGGATTTTCACAGCTTTCCTATTTTCTACGTTCAAATTGGCAAGGATGAAACTCAGTGTATAGGTCACAAAAGGCACAGCCACAGACAGAGAAAGAAATCTTCTCTAGTCATTTGGCAGGGTTTCCACTTTAATCCCATGTATATTGCTATCTACACAGAGCCGGAAAGTTCTACAAAACGGTTACGACATAGAAACTGTCTCCAATGTACTTCACAAACAATCAAACATTCATAAGAGACTCTCCCAGGTTCAACTCAATACATAAAAGAGCTACTAAGAGTAAGCAACAAGAATTCACATTCGAGTACAGTCAAAGTTCATGCAAAAAGGCTGACTTACACCATTCTTAACAAAAATAAAAGTCTGAACCTCACCTAAAATTCAACCACTTCAGGCTCAGAAGAGCTATAGGAGAAAAACAATGCCAACAATAGCAACAAAAATAAAATACCACAAAATACTACTATCAGCAGTGTTTTACCACAGAAGGGCCTTTTCAAAATCTTTGCGTATAAATTCACTACATATTGGAGGTAGCTTTAGTTCCTGTTAATCGGTTCAACTACTACTAATTTTCAAAGCTACCTAGACTCTTCCTTAAATTAAGCAGCCATTTCTAACAAAATATTAGTGGGATCTACTTAAGTCACCACAGGCAATGAAAAGATTATCTCCATGGGTTTTTTTAGTGGACCTTTAAAAAGAATTTCTTTTGACTTTTTTTCTTTGCTCACAATGGCCACATATTAGCAGGTCCCATGGCAAGTGGGGAGAAGGCATCCTGTTGTTAGCCCAGCTGTCAATTTTCTCAATGTAGCTAAAGGGTCAGGAGTCTGATATAGACGCCATAGAATCCAATAATTTCAAGGATGGTTTTTTGCTGATCTTTTCTTGTTCTTTAATAAGTGAATTTATCCTTATTTATCAAGCCTATCAAACTTTAAATGAAAATAAATTCAAGGAATTCCCCAAACATTAGCATTAAGATAAAGATAATTTAACACATTCTTAACGCTCTTATCAAACTTCCTGGTGTGATTTTCTGGCTGCCTTGGCAAGACAACCTACCTAATTCTAAAAATCTGCACATTTTAAAAAATTCTCGTTAGCTAAAAGTATTGAAATCAATACAGAAAATTAAATAGGGGAAGTAATAGTGTTTACATTTTTTAAGACAATTTTTTTAGTGCAATTTTAGGTTTACAACAAAATTGAGAGAGAGGTATAGAGAATTCCAATATACTCCCTGCCTGTCCCCCCAACACAGCCGTCCTCATTATCAACATCACTCGCCAGTTGGTAAGTTGTTTACCAAAGACGAACCTACACTGACACATCAGCATCACCCAAAGTCCATAGCTTACGTTAGGGTTCACTCTTGGTAGTGTCCATTCTATGGCTGTGGACAAATGTATAATGACATGTATCCAGTATCATAACATCATACGGAGTATTTCCACTGCCCTAAAAATCCTCTGTGCTCTGTCCATGCATCTGGCCCCCACCCGCAACCCACCCCGAGCAACCACTAATCCTTTGTTTCCATAGTTTTGCCTTTTCCAGAATCTCTTATAGTTGGGATCATATAGTACATAGCCTTTTCAGATTGGCTTCTTTCACTTAGTAGTATGTATTTAAGGTTATTCCACATCTTTTCATGGGTTCATAGCTCATTTCTTTGTAGCACGGAATAATATCCATTGTGGTTATGTACCACAGTTTATTTATCCCTTCACCTACTGAAGGACAGCTTGGTTGTTTCCAGGTTTTGGCAATGATGAATAAAGCTGCTGTAAGCATCCATGTGTGTGTTTTGTGTGGACATACGTTTTCAATTCCATTTGTGTAAATACCAAGGAACGCAATTGCTGGATCATATGGAGAGAGTGTTTAGTTTTGTAAGAAACTGCAAACTGCCTTCCCAAGTGGCTGTGCCATTTTGCATTCCCACCAGCAATGAATGAGAGTGCCCGTTGCTCCATATCCTCACCAGCATTTAGCATTGTCAGCATTTACATTTTTAACAAAAACTTATAACCTTAGTGCTGCCTGATACAGAAATACCAAATATATGGAGAGGCCATATCACATTTTTGTCAACAAATTAGGAATTCTAAAATTTTCCCTTTTATACCTTCTATAAAATAATTAAATTGAGCTGGCTACTTCTCAGAAATGAGCGAGGTTGGTTCATTCATTTGTTCTGCAAATATTTACTGTGTGCCCATCAGATACCAGGTCCTCTTATTAGCCCAAATCATATCAACCCAATCAAAGGACAGGTAGAAGATTATTTTATTTAACAATAATTGACTGAGCACCTACTATGTGACAATCACTATTCTAAGTGCTGGCATTAAACAAAAAAGACGGATCCTCCTGCCTTGATGCCCTTACATCCTAAGGTGTGAGTGTGTGTCGGGGGCTGGGGAGGACTGAGTGATGGGGAGTTACTCCCAGATCTTCTTCCCCAATTAAATAAAAGATGGGGTGTACTCTAACCAAAGAAAGCCCTTTTATGCATTTAATCTTTCAAATTCATGTGAATGAAGAAATGACATGTCCCTCTGGCCCCCTGAAGAACAGCTAATGCTATGAATAGATGTTCTGTTAGGTTTTCTTGTTTCCTTGTGACTGATATAAAGCATGTATAAGACAGAATGCAGGTTGTGGTTGATAAAATCTAGTGAAATTACCAGGTCAGCTTGGAGATCAAATAAAATCTATTCTCTTAGTTGTCATGATTATCCAAAGATGGTATTCGACAGGCCCACGTAGAACACAGTCCATCCACCAGAAACCAAAAATCCACGAGTCCAACATCTGCCCAAAGACATGACATTGAGATAGTCCCTTGCTAAGTGATCAGTGAGCTAGCGGTGAGACAGGAAGGCCTACCAGTCAGGGATAATGCATTCCAGATTAAGAATAAATCATAAAGCAAGACGTGTTTAATTTTATTATTATAATGCTATTTTCTGATAACTCGAAGAAAGTAACTTGGGGATCTTATCAGTATCTGTTGAGCTGCCAATCAATATTGTCTTCGATACAGGATAAAGCCCATCTGATAACTTTTAAAGTGAAATTACAATTTCAAATTTTTAAGTTAATTAAATATAAATTACTATTTTAAAAATATTTAAAAACACTCATTAAAAAATAATGAAGGCTTTCTGAAACTGGTGCTGGAGAAAAGTGAATATTAATTCCAGTTATAAACTGATCACTTGCCAGAAGGTAA